CCACTCCTATACTTACAGTCGCTAGCGATTGCAGCTTCACCACTGCTCGGGGTTGAAACATCATTTTCGCCAACATGGGGACAGGGGTGCGCAGCCCCACCTACTCTATTAGGCAAGGTGTTCGGACGTGCTTACGACTAGATAGACAGCTTTTGGCTCGCCGCGAACGATAGTTAAGAATAAAGACGAAGTTGTGTATTAAGGTAACGTTTTTTGCATCTCTAAAGATACTGTTCTTTGAAAAGAAGTATGTAGCTAGAGCAGATAGGCCAAATACTGTCAACGTACGTCTATTTTACTTCTTTCGAATGTTACCAAGTGATGACACCTAGAAGAAGTAGTTGAAGCGCACTAAGGGGAGCGTAACTAGAAAAGCTAGTAAGACGAAGAGAACCCAAGGAGCATCATCCTCCCAGATCCGAAGCCAAACGCGACTAGGTTACCTTGGACAGTAGTACAACTAGGAAAATAGTTTGGAGGAAGCCAAAGCATATCTTCTGAGTTGACTGCTAGCCACCGGTCTTTGACAAAGATGTGCCCAGAAGGATGCCGTTGAGAGATTTTCTTAGAGAGCGCTGGTGAAGGTAAGGGTATTGATCCTTGATTGGTTTCTATGTGTGCTCCATCGTTCGAGAAGGCCACGCTGCTGACCCAGCTGGTATGGTCTTTGAGCGTGTGCAGCGGCTGGCCAGTCTTCGCATCCCACACTCGCACTGTCTTATCCCACGAAGCGGATGCCAGCCGATCTCCTGCTGCCGAGAAGGCCACGCTGGTGATAATGTCCGTATGGCCCTCGAGGGTGTGCAGTGGCTGGCCAGTCTTCGCATCCCACACTCGCACTGTCTTATCGTGTGAAGCGGATGCCTGCCGATCTCCTGCTGCCGAGAAGGCCGCGCTGCTGACACAGCTGGTGTGGCCCTCGAGGGTGTGTAGCGGCTCGCCAGTCTTCGCATCCCACACTCGCACTGTCTTATCGTGTGAAGCGGATACCAGCCGATCTCCTGCTGCCGAGAAGGCCGCGCTGGTAACGTAGCTTGTATGGCCCTCAAGCGTCTGCAGTAGAGGTCCCCAGTCTTCCTCTAGCCCACACTTCACCTGCACTTCCTTAGGCATCTCCTGCCTAAACTGATGCCGTACTATGCTTCGCTCTGGCGCAAACACCAACGCTCCATAGTACACCTGCAGCGGCGCCTCCTGGATCCCAGATCCACTCCACATTGCAAATCGCAGTGCGTCGTGGACAACATCTAATACTGACGGCCTCTCTACACTCTTATATAATAGTTAGTATTAACTAGTTAGTATCTTTATTAGGCTACTCCTTGACTTACATTAATAACCTGTTCTAGCTCCTGTAGCGCTAATATAGCTTCTGGCATCTTTTGTAGTAGGCTCATCGCCTCTAGCCAGTAAAGTAAGTGCTTCTGAAAGAAATCGTGCACTTTGCCCCTATCTACTAACATATCGCTACAGGCATGTCCGCCTGCCTGCAGATGCTCCACCCAGTACTCGCAAGCATACGCTATCTGCGGCAGACAGCTACCCTTGACGTGACCTGTCGCCTCCTGTATTCGCATACCAGGCTTCTGCAAGCTACACATATCTCTCCGCAGCGTGCTGTTCATTGCGTCTAGTAAGCGGTAGGTCATTCGTGCCTGCTCCTCCTCTAGTGGGCCACTAAACACCTGCCGGCCGCTGCCTGTAGTAAAGAAGTCTCTAGCAGATAGGTGAATGAAGGACACAACGTCTTCACGCATAGTTAGGAATGAGCCGCAACGGTTAACAAGGTCGGCGACTGCTTGTACGTTACCGAACTGGTCTCTAGGAAGGCCTGCAGCTACGGCGAGCTCTCTAAGCTGTAGCGGCCGGAAAGCGAGCGTGATTGACTGAAGAATGTCCCTGCAGTACTCTGCAGTCTTTGCATCCTGCCCTGTAATCTGCGCCATCATCCGCTCGTACAGCGGATCGAGTCCTGGCGGTAGTGCCTGCAGCACCTCTCGTGCGCGGTAGAGTGGGACGCCCTCTAGCTCTCTGCACACCAGTGACACCCACAAGAAGGTGCCTTCTGCCTTGTCGCGGAGCTGCTGCTGCACTTCTGCCTGTAACTCTAGGTCGTACACGTGTACGGTCGCCAAACGTTGCACTTTATACTGCACAAACGCCGCCACTGCTCTTGATACATGACTCGCTTTGACCTCGAGACTCACCTTGACACCAGCTGCGTCTGGCTGCAGATATCGCGCGATCTCTGGCATGTTGCGGCTGGTCACCAGCCACTTGACCCTAGGCCGTCGCCCGAGGTTCACGTCGGTGATGATGCGCAAAAACTCAGGCAGGCCAGACGTACACTCGTCCAGCGCATCGACAAGCACATACGTCAGCGGTAGAGAGGCGTCATTGAGCATGTCCGACAGTATCTCTCTTAACGCGTGAATGGCGTTAGGCCCTTCGAAGAGCTTACCTCCCATAGCCTCGTACCGCGTCTGCAAATGCCGCATGAGTTGTGGTCTTTGCGCAACGAGCAGGTACATAAGCCCACGAAGGACAGACGCCGCGTTGTTGAGCTCTGGCCGTGTGCTCTGGCAGAAGAAGTACGTCACCAGACATGATTGAGAGCCGAGCTTTAGTTTGGTGAGTACCTTCGCTATCGTCCTTGACGACAGCTGAGTCTTGTGTCCTTGCGACAGCTCGGCGATCACACCCATCGCCATCATTGTCTTGCCTTTGCCCGGGTCGCCCTTGATCCACAGCAGCCGCGACTCGTCCTGCGTCCTCCATCGTCGGAAACTAGCGTCATCCAGTATCCAGGCATAGCAGTCTCGGAGCAACTTGTCCTTATCACCCTCGATGCGCGCGCGTTCTTCGCGCGGGTCCGTCACGTGCAGGTCGCGCAGGCACTGGTGGGGTGATGGTCCGCCAGCTCCGCGAGGCCTTTCTGGAAAGTGTATATCGCCGTGGACATTGCCAAGAATGGCGATCGCGCTGCCGTCGATTCTATTACTGTCGTATGTTGTGGTGTGGCCATGTGGAGACGGCATCCGTGCGACTGCCCCTCTTTTACCAGCGAGGTCTAGGGGCTGCTCTGTACTACTGATGGGTAGAGGTGCCGGACGGGCCAACGCCGCGGACGGGCCAACGCCGGATTACGTCCTCCAACACCAATTATTCCATCCACTTCAACCACCCATAACGTGACCACAATGCAATCAATTGACGCTGCGCTTGCTGCTATTAACGCTTTGAAGCCTAATGAAAAACTTGTGTATTCTCAAATTGCAAAAAAATATGGTGTTGACCCAGGAACGCTGAGCCGCCGCCACCGAGGTATTTCTCGCTCCAGACAAGCAGCTGCACAAAACCAGCAGGCAGTCCACCCACAACATGAAGCTGAGCTTATCGACTATATCGATAGACTCACTAAGCGAGGCCTAGCACCCACACGGAGTATCATTCGAAATATCGCGTCGCAGCTAGCTCAGAAGCAGCTCGGATATCACTGGGTTGATCGCTTTGTTCATCGTAACTCGCATCTCGTTATACTCAAGCGCACCACGCCAATCGATCGTAGCCGGCGCCGAGCTGATTCAGAAAAGAAATATCAGCTCTACTTCGAGCTTCTACGCCAAAAAATCGATCAATATAAAGTAGAGCCGCGACATATATATAATATGGATGAGAAGGGCTTTATGATTGGAGTACAGTCCCGCTCAGTCAGAATCTTTCTAAAGCTGCTCTCAAG